TCAACTTCATCATCCCTACACTTCTGTTCCTGAGGACAACTTGTCACTCTACTCTTGTCCTCAGTCTGTCCACATTCTTCTTCACCTCTGTTCAATACAGTTATCTCCACTTTCTGACTCTCGATCTCAGCAGGCTGGGCTCTACTCAGGTCCACTCTGTTCACATTAGTTCTCTCCGGCAGGGTCATCTTCACTTCTGACCTCTCCATGCCCTCTTTTACACGAGCTGGACTTTCAGCAAACAGCCACGCTATCTCCACGTCGATATCTTCACTCAGTGGAGTCGACACTGTCACATCCTCTCCAGTGTCTCCCTCGTCGGCCACCTCTGCCCTCGTCACTACAGAGGCAGGGTACTCAATGACTTGGCTGTCCTCTGACTCATCCTCTAGGATGCTAGTCAGGTCCACTCTATCAGGTGTCCCATCAGTGCCGTGGCCCTTCTGGCACTCTTTTGGCACAGCTTCTGCTATGAGCTTCGGCAACACCTTTGACCCGCACAAGTCATTACCAAGGATCACTTGCATCCCTGGAACAGGTATGTCGGAACACACTCCCAACCTTTCCTCCAGCGATAAATAATCTGACTTCAGCCTGACAGCACAAATGGGCAGATCACCCCTGAGGCAATAACCCATGCACCATTATTTTCCGATTGCCAGCTAAAAGTTGATCATCCGAGATCAGGCTTCTCAGAATCAGGCTCTGATTCGCTCCCGTATCTCTTAGGATACTTACTTCCACTTCAGGTTGGCCTTCTATACTAACCCAACCTTTACTAATGAACGGGCTATACCTCTCGTTCATCAAGTTCACTTTCTGCAGTTTGTCCTGTATCAAATTAACACATGCATTTCGGGGGTCACACATGGTCAGGGTCACAACTCTCTTGCCCTGCCGACAATCTTTCATCATGTGACCACGTCCGTTACATTTATAGCATCTTACTTGGGAGAAGTCTCTTCTATATCCTCCTGAGTGGCTTTGACTCTGTCCACTCGAGTTCGAGGTTCTCTGCACAGGAGCACCAAACCTGCACTCTGCTGGGTTTGGCTGGACTCTTGATTTCTCATAGTACATATTAGTTTCTCGCTTAGCTTCGGCCGGCGGACTCGGTAACTTTCCTTCAGGGGTGTAGGGCCACCATACTTTCTTACCTGCCCCCAGACACTTTTGTCACCCCATACTCCACTAGGTCTGCCATAATTACGTCTCACATCACTTTTCACTCTGCTTTCCCTCAAGCTCCGATAAGCCTCTGTAATCATATCTGCCCTATCGGCTGCATCTCTCACATTCTTCACTCCTGCCTCTTGGATCTTAAATTTCGTCTCAGGGTGCATCATTTTCAGAAATTTCTCCATAATTATCAGCTGTTTCAAATCACCATAGGATTCTACACCGACAGCTTCTATCCATTTCTGGAAACGCCTTTCCAGATCTCTTGCCGTCTCGGCAAACGTACTTGCAGGAGCCTTCATCATTTCTCTGAAACACTTTTTGTAAGCTTCAGGTGTTAACAGGAAAGAACGCAATACGCTGCTCTTCACAGTCCAGTAATCTTGGCATTCCTCCAAAGACACCTGGGTATACGATTTTCTGGCAGCACCGATCAACCGTAACTGTACCAATTGAGCCCACTTTTCCTGTGGCCACTGTCTGATGTTGGCTATCTTCTCAAACTGCTCGAAAAAGCTCTCTGACTCCTCAGGCACAAATAGGGGAATGTGTTTTTCTCTAACTTTATTATCCGGTTGGTGCGATACATGTGTGGCGCTTTCTGACAATCCACATCCAATCCTATGCTCTGCCAAAGCTCTATCTGCTTCTATTTCCATTTGTTTTGTTCTTTTTTTTCTCTTTCAACTTGAGCTTTCTAATTTTCTTTCTCTTGTTCCAACTCCAATTCTCTTACTCGGGTTTTCTCCTTTTCTTTTTTTACCTCCTGTTCTAATTCTAGTTCTCGTATTCTGGTTTTCTCTCTCTCTTTCTCTGCTTCATTTTTTCATCTGAAGTTCTAACTTCAACTTCTCCAGTCGGAACTGCCTCTCCTCACGCTGCATCTGGAGCTCTAGCTGAAACCTTTCCAAACTCCTGTTCCTGCTACCGCGGCTACTCCTACTTCTGTGGTTACTCCTACTCGATCCTTCTCGACCCTTGGGATCTCACTCCGTCTTATGCATCATCTTTCTTTCCACTCCCAGCTCCTTTCTGGGCTCCTTGTTCTGCCACATCGTTCTTAGCTCTTAACTGCCTCAGGGTCTCATTCTTCATTCCCGCCACTTTAGATGACTTCACTTTGACACCACATTTCTCCGCTATCTGCTTCAACTGTTTTTTGGTGAAATCTTCCAAATCTCAGGCTTGTCTGACTCTACAAATTCTTGCACCTTCTCCATCTTGTCCTGTGGGTCTTCGCGAGAGAGAGAGAGAATAAATCTGGGGTCAATTCAATCCCGGACGGGATAGTGGGAATCCCGTACGGGATTGACACACCCAGAGTTCGACTCCGGGAAGTGGACTGACATTCTCTCTCTCTCTCTCGGGAAGACACACAATAGCATGGGGTCAGCTGTCTACACTGGCAAACTTCGCTACACTGAGAATATTCGCTTACACAGTGAATTGTACACTGTCTTATGAATCAAAGTGACCAAAACGCGGATTTTACCTGTATAAATACTTTGCCGTGCAGTATAACTTTGTATACTAACAAAGTTTGCTACAAACTAAATTTGTTATGTACAAATTGCTGAGCTGGGCACGTGTACTGTGACGTCACAGTGTTTATAGGCGCCATCTTTGGGTCAAGAGTGCACCACGGCCGAGGAAAATTGGAATGTCTCCCGTAATACGAAACTATGCATCTTATTTAACAACATTTTTAGGTAACTCCAGGATTCGGCCGAAAGCCCTTATGACTGGAAGGTGATACGGGCATCACAACATTGACAACCACACTTGTTAGCCACACTAACAAACACACCAGACCGCGAGACTAACAAACACACCAGACCGCGAGACTAACAAACACACCAGACCGCGAGACTAACAAACACACCAGACCGCGAGACTAACAAACACACCAGACCGCGAGACTAACAAACACACCAGACCGCGACACTAACAAACACACCAGACCGCGAGACTAACATCTAAATAAGCTGGTCAGAAAATTCTAGAATTTATATTATCGTCTGGAATCCACCGTTCCTTATTCCGATCTAACTAAACCTTATTGAATCGGATATTCAGTCAATGTATATATCCCCTAATCAGATATTTTAGGTTCGAGCGCGAAAGATCTCAAAGATCGGAGAGACATGGAACGACACGAAGACCAGTATTGTGTTCGAAAACCTACTCGGCCAAAGATATTCGCTCCTTTAAAACGGAAGCGTTCGCCTAGGGGCTCACCATAGCCCGTGCTACTTGGAACTTTTTGTTCCGGGTAGCGAATCTACAACAACAGGAAGCGTTCACAGGGCGAGGCTGAGCACTAGTGCATCCTGGGGACTGATGTGGGCCCCAGGCAGCCCAGCACCAGCTGTGACCAGCCCAGCACCAGCTGTGACCAGCCCAGCACCAGCTGTGACCAGCCCAGCCCCAGCTGTGACCAGCCCAGCACCAGCTGTGACCAGCCCAGCACCAGCTGTGACCAGCCCAGCACCAGCCATGACCAGCCCAGCACCAGCCATGACCAGCCCAGCCCCAGCCGTGACCAGCCCAGCCCCAGCTGCGACCAGCCCAACACCAGCTGTGACCAGTCCAGCCCCAGCTGTGACCAGCCCAGCCCCAGCTGTGACCAGCCCAGCACCAGCCGTGACCAGCCCAGCACCAGCCGTGATGGCCCTAGCCGTGATGAACCCAGCACCAGCCGTGATGAACCCAGCTATGATCAGCCCAAAAAGCGAGTCCGACCCAAAGCCACCTACGACAGAAACGAATCAGATCTGACCGAAATGGTGGCTGTCGTGCAGGCTAAGGAAGGCCTGCCATCACTGGAGGACCGCGCTCGCCTGCAGGCCCAGGAGGCCTGCTCGCGTGCACGCCTCCTGTCTCTCCAAACCCACCCAAGACGAAAATACATCCAGCAATATAAGTTGCAGTTTGCGTAAACTCTGAAAAGAGAGTATCCAAATATACCTAAACAGGAGTTTAAGGATCTCTGTCGCAAAGCAGTGGTGCTGGAAAGAATGAGGATTATGATGGAGAATAAAAAGAAACTGAGGCTATCGAGGCAGAGTAAGGAAGAGCGGAGATAGGAAAAAGAGGATAAGAGACGTAACAAACAAGGACTTGGACTTGAAAGAAAAAGACAAAAAGCTCTGGCTAAAGAAGCCCGGAGATTGGAAAAGGAGACAAAAGCCCAGATTATGGAAGCACAGAGATTGTAAAAAGAGCAGATAAAGGAAGCACAGAGATTGGAAAAGGAGAGAAAGGCCCAGATTATGGAAGCACAGAGATTGGAAAAAGAGCAGATAAAGGAAGCACAGAGATTGGAAAAAGCCCAGATTATGGAGGCACAGAGATTGGAAAAAGCCCAGATTATGGAGGCACAGAGATTTGAAAAAGAGCAGATAAAAGAAGCACAGAGATTGGAAAAAGAGACAAAAGCCCAGATTATGGAAGCACAGAGATTGTAAAAAGAGCAGATAAAGGAAGCACAGAGATTGGAAAAAGAGACAAAAGCCCAGATTATGGAAGCACAGAGATTGGAAAAAGAGCAGATAAAGGAAGCACAGAGATTGGAAAAAGAGCAGATAAAGGAAGCACAGAGATTGGAAAAAGAGAGAAAAGCCCAGATAATGGAAGCACAAAGATTGGAAAAAGAGAGAAAAGCCCAGATTTTGGAAGCACAGAGATTGGAAAAAGAATAGATAAAGGAAGCACAGAGATTGGAAAAAGAGAGAAAAGCCCAAATTTTGGAAGCGCAGAGATTGTAAAAAGAGCAGATAAAGGAAGCACAAAGATTGGAAAAAGAGACAAAAGCCCAGATTATGGAAGCACAGAGATTGGAAAAAGAGCAGATAAAGGAAGCACAAAGATTGGAAAAAGAGACAAAAGCCCAGATTATGGAAGCACAGAGATTGGAAAAAGAACGGATAAAGGAAGCACTGAGATTGGAAAAAGAGAAAAAAGCCCAGATTTTGGAAGCACAGAGATTGGAAAAAGAACAGATAAAGGAAGCACAGAGATTGTTAAAAGAGAGAAAGGCCCAGATTATTGAAGCACAGAGATTGGAAAAAGAACAGATAAAGGAAGCACAGAGATTGGAAAAAGAGAGAAAACTCCAGCTTTTGGAAGCACAGAAATTGGAAAGAGAGCAAACAGCACAGATACAGCCAGCAGAGACACTGGAAAGGAAAGACAAAGACTAGATTTGAAGAAGCAGAGAAACTTCTTTCTCTTTCGAACTGGAAAGATAAAAATAAACCACATTTTGGAAGCACAGAGACTGGAAAGAGAGGAGCAGAGAGCACAGATGGAGGACACAGAGACTGGAAAGAGAGGAGCAGAGAGCACGGATGGAGGATACAGAAACTGGAACGTGAAGAACAAAAATGAGTATACAAAAGTAGGTCAGAAAAGGGTGATCCTACATGGGGGGGCGGGGTGATCCTATATACATATATACTTTTATTATTGCTATGGACGTTAATTAAAATTATTGCTGTTTAATTGTATTTTATTTTATTAGTTTTGTACTATGGATAATATATGTGCACCGGCGTGATTGATTTGTTTTAGTAATGTGCGGTGAACTTCACACACCTCCTTGTCACTCTCTGTATATCTATTCTCTTTTTTCAGTTTCATCTCTTGTTCCTTTACTGCTGTTTTCCTCCTGATGTGGCTGTGGAGCAGTTTTGGTTGGGTCTTGGCTTTACTCGCGATGTCATTTTCAAACTGTCTCTCTGCTTCCCTCCTCACTCTGATGTACTCATTTCTGGCCCTCTGGTATCTCTCTCCCTGCTCTTTGGTGTTCTGATGTTCTTGTAGTTTCTCCACGTTCTTTTACTCAATAGTTTCACTACCTTATATACCTTACAATATGTGTGTGTGTGTGTGTTTACTAATCAAGTTATGCTTGCAGGGGCTGTGCTTCAGGTCTTTGGTCCCGCCCGAGTCTGTGTGTGTATTCACCGAGGCTAGTTGTGCTTGCGGGGGTTGAGCTCTGCTCTTTTGGCCCGCCTCTCAACTGTCAATCAATCAACTGTTACTAACTACTAACTAAATTTTTCACACACACACACACACACACACACACACACACACACACACACACACACACACACACACACACACACACACACAGACAGTAGTTAACGGATGGAATGCATTAGGCAGTGATGTGGTGGAGGCTGACTCCATACACAGTTTAAATGTAGATGAGATAGAGCCCAGTAGGCTCAGGAACCTGTACACCAGTTGATTGATCTGTTGAGAGGCGGGACCAAAGAGTCAAAGCTCAACCCCCGCAAGCACAAATAGGTGAGTACACACACACACACACACACACACACACACACACACACACACACACACACACACACACACACACACACACACACACACACACACACACACACACATAAAGAAACACACATAAAGAAACACATAAAGAAACTGGAGAAGGTTCAGAGGTTTGCGACGAGGCTTGTCCCAGAGCTACGAGGGATGGGATATGAAGAGCGGCTGAAGGAACTGAACCTTACGACACTAGAGAAAAGAAGGGAGAGAGGAGATATGATAGGGACATATAAAATACTCAGGGGAATTGACAAAGTGGAAATAGATGAAATGTTCACACGTAATAATAACAGAACGAGGGGACATGGGTGGAAACTGGAAACTCAGATGAGTCACAGAGATGTTAGGAAGTTTTCTTTTAGCGTGAGAGTAGTAGAAAAATGGAATGCACTTGGGGAACAGGTTGTGGAAGCAAATACTATTCATACTTTTAAAACTAGGTATGATAGGGAAATGGGACAGGAGTCATTGCTGTAAACAACCGATAGCTAGAAAGGCGGGATCCAAGAGTCAATGCTCGATCCTGCAAGCACATATAGGTGAGTACATATAGGTGAGTACACACACACACACACACACACACACACACACAGCAGCAGCCCGTATCAGCTGTCTAACTCCCAGGTACCTATTTACTTTTAGATAACAGGGGCATCAGGGTGAAAGAAACTCTTCCCATCTGTTTCCGCCGGCGCCGGTAATCGAACCACAGGACTACGTATCCAGCGTGCTGTCCACTCAGCCACCAGCCCCTGTATGTGTGTGTGTGTGTGTGTGTGTGTGTGTGTGTGTGTGTGTGTGTGTATGTGTATGTGTGTGTGTGTATGTGTGTGTGTACTCACCTATTTGTACTCGCCTATTTGTGCTTGCGGGGGTTTGAGCTTTGGCTCTTTGGTCCCGCCTCTCAACTGTCAATTAACTGGTGTACAGATTCCTGAGCCTACTGGGCTCTATCATATCTACATTTAAAACTGTGTATGGAGTCAGCCTCCACCTCATCTCTGCCTAATGCATTCCACCTGTTAACTGCTCCGACACTGAAAACGTTCATTCTAACGTCTCTGTGGCTCACGTGGGTACTCAGTTTCCACCTGTGTCCACTTGTTCGCGTACCACCAGTGTTGAATAGTTTATCCTTGTCTACCCTGTCAATTCCCCTGAGGATTTTGTAGATAGTGATCATGTCTCCCCTCACTCCTCTGTCTTCCAGTGTCGTTAGGTGCATTTCCCGCAGCCTTTCCTCGTAACTTATGCCTCTTAGTTCTGGGACTATTCTAGTGGCATACCTCTGAACCTTTTCCAGCTTCGTCTTGTGCTTGACAAGGTACAGGCTCCATGCTGGGGCCGCATACTCCAGGATTGGTCTTACGTGTGTAGTATACAAGATTTTGAACGATTCCTTACACAGGTTCCTGAAGACTGTTCTGATGTTAGCCAGCCTCGCATATGCCGCAGACGTAATTCTTTTTATGTGGGCTTCAGGAGACAGGTTTGGTGTGATATCAATTCCTAGATCTTTCTCTCTTTCCGTTTCATAAAGTACTTCATCTTCTATTCTGTATCCTGTGTCTGGCCTCCTGTTTCCACCGCCTGTGTATGTGGCGTGTGTGTGTGTGTGTGTGTGTGTGTGTGTGTGTGTGTGTGTGTGTGTGTGTGTGTGTGTGTGTGTGTGTGTGTGTGTGTGTGTGTGTGTGTGTGTGTGTGTGTGTGTGTGTGTGTGTGTATGTGTATGTGTATGTGTGTGTGTGTGTGTGTGTGTGTGTGTGTGTGTGTGTGTGTGTGTGTGTGTGTGTGTGTGTGTGTGTATGTGTGTGTATGTGTGTATGTGTGTGTGTGTGTGTATATGAGGAAATTAAGTATATCGTATTTAACAAATCACTGGATATTATATTTTGAAAACTTAATACATATGACGTGCTTACGGATCAACACATGCGGAGTGTTGGGCCCCGTCACACGGTGAGTGACTTAGGGGCCCGTCACACTGTGAGTGACTTAGGGGCCCATCACACTGTGAGTGACTTGGGGGCCCGTCACACTGTGAGTGACTTGGGGGCCCGTCACACTGTGAGTGACTTGGGGGCCCGTCACACTGTGAGTGACGTAGGGGCCCGTTACATGGTGAGTGACTTAGGGCCCCGTCACATGGTGAGTGACTTAGGGCCCCGTCACACTGTGAGTGACGTAGGGGCCCGTCACACTGTAAGTGACGTAGGGGCCCGTTACATGGTGAGTGACTTAGGGCCCCGTCACATGGTAAGTGACTTAGGGGCCCGTCACACGGTGAGTGACTTAGGGCCCCGTCACATGGTGAGTGACTTAGGGCCCCGTCACATGGTGAGTGACTTAGGGCCCCGTCACATGGTGAGTGACTTAGGGCCCCGTCACATGGTGAGTGACTTAGGGCCCCGTCACACGGTAAGTGACTTAGGGCCCCGTCACATGGTGAGTGACTTAGGGGCCCGTCACATGGTGAGTGACTTAGGGCCCCGTCACATGGTGAGTGACTTAGGTCCCCGTCACATGGTGAGTGACTTAGGGCCCCGTCACATGGTGAGTGACTTAGGGCCCCGTCACATTGTGAGTGACTTAGGGCCCGTCACATGGTGAGTGACTTAGGGGCCCGTCACACGGTGAGTGACTTAGGGGCCCGTCACACGGTGAGTGACTTTGGGGCCCGTCACACGGTAAGTGACTTAGGGCCCCGTCACACGGTGAGTGACTTAGGGGCCCGTCACACGGTGACTTAGGGCCCCGTCACACGGTAAGTGACTTAGGTGCCCGTCACATGGTGAGTGACTTTGGGGCCCGTCACACGGTAAGTGACTTAGGGCCCCGTCACACGGTGAGTGACTTAGGGGCCCGTCACACGGTGACTTAGGGCCCCGTCACACGGTAAGTGACTTAGGTGCCCGTCACATGGTGAGTGACTTAGGGCCCCGTCACATGGTGAGTGACTTAGGGGCCCGTCACACGGTGAGTGACTTAGGGGCCAGACATACGTGGAACAAGGAAAGACTCATCAGCCACTAGCACCGAAGCCATCTCCACTAGGAACCAGCACAAAGGTGAGGGGCTGACTAGGCATTCTAACCGGTTCATTGAAGTATTTTCGGGTAAGGCAATATGGAGTCCCTGGTGACTAAAGGCGGTAAGGAAGGCGGCTCACACCCTGGCTTGTGGCCCTCCGCGTTGACGCACAATATTAAACTGACCACCTTCTAAATTTTGTAATAAGGTACCTCCCTCGTTGCTAACGATTGTATCATTTTTTATTGTATACTAGCTGTACCCGGCCACGCGTTGCTGTGGCTCAACAGCTAGCAACCCTCCCCCTGTCTCCCAGTCGTCCCCACCATTCCCCCCCTCCTCCGTCCCCTCGTCCTCCTAATCATTCCCCACTCCACCGTTCCCTCGTCCTCTCCACCATCTCCCACTCCCCCGTCTCCTCGTCCTTCCTACCATCCCCCACGTCCCTGTCCCCTTGTCCTCCCCCACCAATCTCTATTCCCCTGTCCCCTAGTCCCACCATCCCCAACTCCCCCATTCCCTTGTCCTCCCCACCATTACCCCCTCCCCTGTCCCCTCGTCCTCCAAACCATCCCCTACTCCCGTCCCCTCGTCCTCCCCACTATTCCCTACTCCCTCGTTCGATGCATTCCCAAATAATCTGATGTTCCCATTAGAAAATTGTGAACATCAGTTAAAATTAACAATTAAAAAACGAAATGAAAAATAATAAAAAAATAAAACTATAAACTATACTCACGAAATAAACGATATGGTAAACAAAAAAAAACTCAATTCCAACGCAATGTCACACAAAATAATTAAATCAAAATGAAAA